GTATATCTTAAAACACTGTACTTGCAGATAATAGAATGCAATTAATATATAAGTAATGAAATAAATGGCCACTTAAGTGTACTTAAAGAGAGGGCATTTTAATGACAGATTTCACAGATGGGGCTTAGACTGAGCCAGGATTAGGCCATAGTTCAATTAGGACATTTAAGTAATTTTTTTTTTATAAATGTGCCTTAAAGAAAACATGTGGTGTGCATCTTGAGACAAAACAAAGGCACTGATATATTTTAAGATCAGTGAGTGCAAGTTTCTTTCAGTTAAAACAGCTCAGATTTACATTTTAGTCTGAGACGAGGCTTAAGCCTTGTCTATGAAACCGGGGGTACGTTTCTGAACACACTTAAGTACACTTTTAAAATGTGCACTTCGTAATGTTATCAAATTAAACGTGTTTCAATAATCTTTTGTCATGATTTAGAGAAGTAGACTTATTTTAATGTTGACTAACACACTAAAGCACACAAAATATTTGATTGTAATTGTATCTGTTAGTCTGTTATTCAATATTACATTTAAGGCACTATATATTTTAAATGCACCAAATTGCATGTTCATTACAAATATGTAAATACAAATATATTTAAATACATGACAACACACTTTAACTATATTTCAAAAACAATGGAAGTAAATATAAAATGACATAATGACAAAATATTTACAGTACATTTAAATTATAATCCATTTCCATTTAATTGCAACTAACACACAGTTAAGTGTCTGAAAACGTTACAGTATGTTCACACTTAAGTGTGTTCTTTAAAGTGTTTTATTTCGATAAGTACTCTTATTGAAAGTATATGCTAAAGAGTATAGATGTCAATATAAAATGACAATGACAAAATATTTACAGTACATTTAAACTATAATCCATTTCCATTGAATTGCAACTAACACACAGTTAAGTGTCTGAAAACGTTACAGTATGTTCACACTTAAGTGTGTTCTTTTAAAGAGTTTTATTTCGATAAGTACTCTTATTGAAAGTATATGCTAAAGAGTATTTCTTTTTCACAAGGGTTGTCCTCATCTGACTTATCTATTAGTTAATCTTATTTACTTCCAGATCAGTATTATTTGTTTATTGGTGTATAGTATAGAGAGGGACAAATAATATACACAACTAACCCAAGGTCTGGAATAGCTTCTTCTTTGGTCTCCTGAAGAATAAACAGTATAGTCTGGTTTACCAATTAACATTTTGTTGGTTAAACAAAATATGTCCTGTCACACATCATAAAACCTTTCAGAGAACTTGTGTAAATCTTATACAGATCCACAGCATGGACCAATTTGACAAATTGCATGAAGAGTGTTACAGTGTTCATATTTGATTCTCCTGATGGTTTTGATTGATGCACTGACAAACTCCTTAATCTGGAGTTTCTGTCAGATGGGTGAATAACGAGAAGAGGACCGTTCACGTGACCTCTGAACCTACAGGGGGTCAAACACACACACACACACAGAGACACAGACACAGACACAGACAGACACACAGACATAGACAGACAGACAGACACACACACACACAAACACACACACACACACAGACACACACACAGACACAGAGACACACACACAGCCACACACACACACACACACACACACAGACAGACACAGACACAGACACAGACACAGACACAGACACAGACACAGACACACACACACACACACACACACACAGACAGACACAGACACAGACACAGACACAGACACAGACACAGACACAGACACACACACACACACACACACAGACACAGACACAGACACAGACACAGACACCTTCAGGAACTGGAATCAAAGTGTTTAATGGTCTTGATCCTACAATAAGCTGTTGTGCCCTCTGCTGGCCATCACTAATTCATCAAAAAAACACAACAACCAGGATCTCAAACCATTTGAACATCACTGTAACCCTGCAGAGCATCAAGGTCCATGATTCAAGTCTTTGTTTAGAGGAAAAAAATATTTATGTATTTATTTCTGCTCAACATGTGGACCATGTCTGATGAAAAAGAAGTGCACCTTATTGTACTTGTAGCGTACTTCAAATCATAAAAGTATATTTTAAAAACCTTAACTTTCAGATATTGTAATATTAATAAATTTAAATGCCACTTAAGTGTACTTAAAGAGAGATACTTTGATGACTGTTTTTTCACTATGTTTTAATAATCTTTTGTAATGGTTTAAAGAAGTACATTTATTTTGATGTGTTGACTAACATACTAAAGCACATGTAAAGTACTTTATTATTATAATTGAACTGTAGTGTCTCATTTGATATTACATTTAAAGTGAATATATTTTAAATATACTAAATTGCAACTTTATGATTACAAATGTGTAATTACAAAAATATTTAAATACATAACTTACAGGTTTTGATACAAATGGCATTGAAGTATAATGTAGTTTATTATAAATGCTTGTCAGTACATTTAGTAGTACACTTAACCATATTTCAAAGCCATTAGAAATAATAATGAAATTGCATAAGTGGGTCAAAAACACTCTTAAATTCAACTAATTGCATTTGATATATATTTTAATTATAATACATTTTCATTTAATTGCAAATAACATGCAATTAACTGGCTAAAAACATTGCATTTAATTCAAACTTAAGTATATAATTTCTTCTATTAAAGTGTACTTCTTTTTAACAAGAGCATATTAGCACATATTTGCTGCTGTCCTGTGTCAAAAAACAAAAATGCACAAATGTGACCCTGGAGCACAAAAGCAGTCTTAAGTGGCTGGGGGATATTTGTAGCAATAGCCAACAATACATTGTATGGGTCAAAATTATCAATTTTTCTTTAATGCCAAAAATCATTAGGATATTAAGTAAAGATCATGTTCCATGAAGATATTTTGCAAATTTCTTACCGTAAATATATCAAAACTTAATCTTTGATTAGTAATATGCATTGCTAAGAACTTCATTTGGTCAACTTTAAAGAAATATTTTCTCAATATTTAGATTTTTGTGCACCCTCAGATTCCAGATTTTTAAATAGTTGTATCTCGGCCAAATATTGTCCTATCCTAACAAACCATACATCAATGGAAAGCTCATTTATTCAGCTCTGTATGATGGTGTATAAATCTCCATTTTAAAAAAATGGACCCTTATGACTGGTTTTGTGGTCCAGGGTCACAAATGAGGAACATCTGATACCTGATCTCTGCCGTGATGTTCTCTTTGACTGCATGGAGCAAAAGAGAGATGTCTTCGGGATGAGGTGCAGCCCTGTTTCCGTGACTTTTTGGAGGTTTTTCTCGTCATTGCCCTCTAAAGACAATAAAGCATCTTACAAAACTTTATAACTGTATGATGGTGTATAAATCTCTATTTTTAAAAAATTGACCCTTATGACTGGTTTTGTGGTCCAGGGTCACAAATGAGGAACATCTGATACCTGATCTCTGCCGTGATGTTCTCTTTGACTGCATGGAGCAAAAGAGAGATGTCTTCGGGATGAGGTGCAGCCCTGTTTCCGTGACTTTTTGGAGGTTTTTCTCGTCATTGCCCTCTAAAGACAATAAAGCATCTTACAAAACTTTATAAAGCAATCAAGCTAAAATCTTGCATTTCAAAATCTGCATTTTTTACCAGAGGAACAGTCAGGAAACCATTGTCACTGGAGATTTCACTGAATGTTGTCTTTGTGGAGGACTCTAATCTTGGAGAGATACCCTGAAATTAATCAATCGATTTAAAAACTTTTTTCTTTTTTTGTAATAATGCAAAAAACTCATTATTGTCGTGTTTAAGCAAATCAATTGAATCAATTGAATGTAGATAAATACGCACTTACAGGGAAAGTGGGATGCCGTGTCATTAATACCTCTCTCTCTACTCCAGAGAAAGATGGGGCAAGCATCTTCTTCAAAACTGGCCAGTATTTCTCCAGCTGCAAAAGAGAATTTCAAAAGCAAATAACATTTGCATGCAACATGAATAATTTAATAATACCTGAGAAATAATATCAGTTGTACCTGGAGGAATCAACTGAATGAGTTCAAGTTTCACTGTTTCACTTGAGGAAGAGGAGAAACGCACTAAAATAACCCTAGTACATAAGAAGTGTGCTTAACTGTATTTGAGTGTGCACTTAAAACCTTAAAAGTATATTTTAAAAAATGCACTTGCATATACTAAAATATTAATCAACTGAAAGGCCACTTAAAGAGAGTAGACATTCATGATGTTTCTTAACACACTTAAGTACATTTAAAAAAAAATGTTTGTTACAATGTCAGATTAAAAGTTTTACTTAAATTGTTTTGAATAATATTTTATCATGCTTTAAAGTATTTTGATGTGTTGACTAACATACGAAAGCACATGTACTTAATAAACATTTTAGCTGTTATGTTATTTCATATTACATTTACAGTTAACATTTTAATACTCTAAATTGCAAATTCATCCTTACAAACGTGTAATTACAAATGCATTTCGCAGGTAGTTAACAGTATGACACAAAACAGCCAATATACTGTGGCTAAATATAATTTGAACTCACCGGAAACATTAATACAATTCATTTAAAATGTATTTGCATGAATAAAAGGTCGCTTTTTAATGATGTTATTAACTATTCTTATAACCAAATATTATCCATATTTCAGTAATATGAAAAGACTTTTATTTTGAAACAGTCCGGAAATTAAATTGGACACATGGGAGTCGTAGTTTTGTAGCTCATTTGTAGTTCACACCATCAACATTGCCTTTTAAAATGAAAAACAGATATCTATGATGCATTTGTATATTTAGTACTTTCAAAAAATCTCACAGTGGAGCCAAACTGAGAAATGAAATTAAGAAGGAAATAAAATCCTACAATTGTGGACACTGTAGCTGTGGACAATTTCATTATTGCTCAGCTGTTTCCATCCGAGCATCCATATTAAATATAGCAGTTTATTTCACCAGGTCCGAGATAAAATGACAACAGACAAAATTGGTGTGCATTTGGTTTATACGGTCATTTGTCAGGGGTACCAGAAATACAACTGAATACCAAGATTTAAAAAACAAACAAAACTGCAAATAAAACTTGCACTTCAGATATACAACTTAAAATAAATCGACCCATCTACATTCATTTAGGTACAATAATAAAAGCAAATCAAGGTAACAACAGCATATTAGACTTAGCTGATAACAGAATACACTGTAGTCCCATTTCTCGTCCGACCAGCGAGTGCTGGACTGCACATGCTAGTTAGAAACCATCTAGAAGAGCAAACGCTCACTTATAATCAGAAATGTTTGAAATGAGCTTGACTAGGCGTATTATTATTATTATTATTAATGGATGCACAACTGCATTCAAGGGGAAATCAATTTGAATTGTAACAGCATCAGTGGCATTTTCATTCTATTAGAGCTTTGTAAGAACCATGAAATACGGCTTCTTAGTAAATTCTTAATAAACATCAGAATGTAATGTCAGGCCGAATGATAAAAACACAAAAGGAGATATGATAAATTTTAAGCAAAAGTGCATCTGATACTTCAGTTCTGAGAGCGCTAGGCTGCCAGCATGACGTCTATATATTGTTTTAAAAGGAAGAAGGAGAGGAGATGAGGCTCTATTCTCCATACACACTCTCGTCACTGTAGGCGATGTAAAGGAAGAAATCTTCTTCGTGATGTTCCTGTGTGTGAGACAGCGTAATTACAAGAGGAACAAACTGATACTGATGTGAACAAACCAATCAGAGTGAAAGAAGGGCGAGAGAGAGATACCTGGTACAGCTGGCCCATGGTGGCGGAGGTCGGGGGAATGACGTTGTTCACGAAGAAGAACAGAGCATCCTCGGCTCTCAGGTGGATTCGCTTTCGGATGAGAAAGTAAAACTGGCCCACTAAAAAAACATTAGCAGATGCTTTTATCCAATGTGACTTACAAATGAGGACAATGGAAGCAATCAGAATCAACAACAGAGCAATGATACGCAAGCGCTATAACACGTCTCAGTTAGCTTAACGCAGTACACGTAGCAAGGCTTTTTAAAAATTATAGAATACTTTTTTTTTTTTTTTTAAACAGATCGAAAGAATACAATATCAGTATTAGTTGATAAATAGAGTGTAAGTCTAAAAGGGGCAAGTTTTTTTTAAAGAATAGAATTAGAATAGAGAGTGCTAGAGTTAGAGGGTCAAAATATAATTATAATAATAACATCTTCTGATGCAATCGGCTTCAAGTAAAAAAAAAAAAAAAAGACTTTCGAAACATAAAGGCACTTACCCGTCAGGTCAGAGGGGACCAGGTATTTCTTCTTGTCTAGGTCACCTATTCTGGCTTTAGGAGCTTTTTCCACAATTACCTAATACAGAATCAAACAAACACTTGTAAGTGGAGAAAATGTAGTGTACAGTTAAAGAAACAGTTCACCCAAGAGTGAAAATCAGCGGACAGTGTACTCATCTTCAGGTCATGAGTTTGTTTCTTCATCAGATTTGGAGAAATGTAGCATTGCATCTCTTTCTCACCAAAGGATGCTCTGCAGTGAATGGGTGCCGTCAGAACGAGAGTCCAAACAGCTGATAAACACATCACAGTAATCCACACGACTCCAGTCCATCAGTTAAAGTCTTATGAAGTGAACAGCTTGTATCTATAATATACAAGCAACAACAGTACAGCTCTGAACAAATATGTTGGTGGATTTTGATATGAGAGTATAACGGGATGGACTTTTTGATTTAGAGGAAGCAATATTCTGGATTATGGAATAATATGGAAAAACATATTTTGACCAGAAGTTAAAAAACCTTGACGAATCGGTTTCTTACAAACGTGCAGCTTTTCACTTCTCAAGACTTTAACTGATGGACTGGAGTGGTGTGGATTATTGTGATGTTTTAATCAGCTGTTTGGACTCTCGTTCTGACGGCACCCATTCACTGCAGAGCATCCGTTGGCGAGCAAGAGATGCAATGCTACATTTCTCCAAATCTGATGAAGAAACACACTCATCTACATCTTGGATGGCCTGAGGGTGAAATTTGCAGCTAATTTTCTTTCTTGGGTAAACTATTCCTTTAATCCAGCGTTAGACGAAACCGAGAGAAGCTACTAGTTTACTTTCAATCGATTTTACTCGTTCCTTTCACTTTTCAAGCCCACTATGTGTGATTTTTTTTGACTCGGAGTAAAGACTAAGAGGATCTGAGAAAAGCTGTGCTATTTTTGATAATTAGGCTGCAGATGAGGAACAAGATATCTATATTATGAACCACTTCAGACCCATGACTATTTAAAACTACTATGTTGCTTCCCATATGTAAAACATCCATTAGAGGGTCAGAAGCGAACCAGGACTTGGGGGAAATGCCACCAAAAGTATAAAACATCTCAGAAAATTGCCCCGCAGTGAATTCTTCAATTCATAATTTTAGAGTGTTTAATTTTTGTTAATCGATTCAGCTGAATCAAGCTGTCAATACGGGTTATTATGGTATCAAACATATTATTAATAATCTTTTCGTAGTAACACAGGTCCAAACAGGGGAGGGGGGAAAATACTTGAAATTATGGCAATATTTAATAGACGGCTTGTATTTCTGGTTTGGTCATGTATATGGTAAACGAAGCCAGCCTTGTGGATGTAAACATGTTGACTGAAGGACATCCAGGCTATTTTAGGATCACCACTTACACATGGTCCTAAATGTATTATTTTACCCCACAAATGCAATTTAAATAAGACCACAAGCACATAACGCACCGCATTACACTACAGGAGGTCAATCTGTCCATTAGGCCTCGAGGATTAAAGCAGACCAGACAACACAAAACACAAGCCACCTTAACAAATATTGAACTGTTCGTCTCTCAAAGCAGATTCGAGCTGAAGAGAGATTTCAAACACGCTATTAGTAAGCATAACACGAACAGACATTTGATTTCGTCTGTTGTGGTTCACCATAACGCTAACGCTAGCTTCTGTTTACGCTAACGTTACATCCAACCGACTTACAGGAACCCTGTCTGGATATTTCTTCCGGATTTTCTCACCCTCCGATCGCCTCTTCTCAAAGGGATGCTCTTCTTTGTATTGAAACTTCATGGTTGTTAAAGGAAGAGTAAACTAGTCTTACACAAACACACAGATGTGACCAAGCGCTTCATACACAGCTGCTGCGCTCTCCCTTCTGCGCATTGATACGGACGCGCTATATTTACATTATTTTTGTTAACTCAATACTGAATCTTTCCCGAAAACCACACATCCAGAAAAACTATTCGATACAAGGCTTATTAAAGATGCTAGACGGTTACTAAAGACGTTTCTGATATCGCGTTATGTTGTGTTTGTAAGGTAGGGACTACTTTTTCCGCTCACGCAGTTATACAAGCGGTGCTCCGGTCAGTCATATGACCGTCTGCCCTCACTTCCGGTATCCGAAGAGACGCAGAGTTGCTTTAAAAATGTTACTTGAAATTAAATAAATGTTAACTGGAATGATGAAATAAAACCTAAAAGAAAATACAAAAATAAAAGAAAATTCATTCATACTAAAATAAACACTGGAGCAAATGTGACAAAGGTTATGTACACTATGCATACATTTGTATATTTTTGTATATTATTGTATACTTTGTTCTGATAAAAAAAATGACTAATCGCTTCACTCATAACGTGAGGAAACAATAGATTCTTTAAAAAGATTTTTTTTAATATATATATATATATATATGTCTTGTTGTATAGTATGTGTAAAATCATGTAAAACAAGATAAACAAAAAAATGGTTTAAGAAAGGATTTTAAACAACTATAATTGTGTAAGATAAGATTTCTAAATATATTTTTGGCACCCCACCAACAAATTTGCTTATGTTTTGTTTTTACGCTCAATTCATTTAATCACTTTAAGCTTAAAACAAACAAATTTCTATTTTGTTTTCGTTTAGTTTTTCTTTTTTTTATGTAAAAAGCCTTTTTTTTTTTGCATCAAGAGCGAAGGAAACACGTGTTGCCTAAAGTATATTTTCCATCAGAAATGGTTTTCTGCAACTGGTTCCTTAAACTTTAAAGAAGATCGTCAAAGAAAACCGTACCCATAGAATAGGATAGTGACACGTTTTTATTAGTAACGTGCACAGGTCTACGCACTTGTGTCCCAGGAAGCTGCCTTGAGACTTCACAAGTGTTAGACCGATGAGAATAGAACTGACATTATCTGACAGGTGCACAGAGAAACCAACACGGCCTTGAGTACAAAAAAAAGGTGTCTGTTGCTCCGTCATCTCTTCAACACAATGAAGTTTTATAAATTCAAGTCTTGCCATTATTACATTTTCAGGAAAGAAAAAAAAAAAAGCGCGCGTGTGCCTCTGAAATATGCTAGTCTCACGAGTTTGTTTACAGGAGCAAAGGAAGCAAAGTTTCCTTACTTCGGAAACCAGTCTCCTCTTGGCTTATATCGAAACCCTCCGACATTCTTTGCAAATCCTCGGTTTGTACTTCTAATTCATGACCGGCGTTTTGTTTTGCTCTCTCACCGCGTTCGTCGCTAATCACGAAACGCCAACGTCCTACGTCATCCGCCGGAACGACTCCGGCTTATGACAGTTAGATGAAGTGTGAGAAAAGTGTTCATTACGTTAAAAATATGGATTTTTTCTTACAAAAATGCATGGATTTGCTACAGGAGGCCTTCACTCACCCCCCAGAGCCGTGTGAGGCAGGTTTTATTACGGATGTGCGCTCTTTATTTAACGCGTTTTGGACTGTTCAACAGAAACACCCGCCAACTGCAATGATAGAGCTTGGAATAGCCAGGACGAATTTTAATATAACTCCGATGGGATTCGTCTGAAATCAGAAAGTCATATACACCAAGGATGCCTCGAGGGTGCGTAAAACACAGGCTAATTTTTATTTTTGGGTGAACTAACCCTTTAACACCATAATTTAAACCTTATAAAAAAAACACATAAAAAATCTTTACCTTAATGCATCCAGCATGGGCAGCAGGTTAAGAAGTGCTGTGTCGCTTGGGTCACTAAACCATGACTTTATAGGTATTGCATTATCTATGGGCAAAAAAAAAACAGGAACATTTTTTACAAATAATCACATATTTATGGAAGCCTGTTTCCACCACTGAATAAAAAAAATAAAAAAAAAGGTAATTGCGTATTTCTCTCTCAATTCTCTTTTTTTATTTTGTTTACATCTCGCAAATCTGACTTTTTTCCCAGAATTTTGAAATATAAGCTAGCAACTGTGAGAAAAGAAAAACGTCAGAATTAAGGAATATAAACTCGCAACTGCGAGAAAAAAGTCAGAATTGTGGGACAAAAGTCACAATCATCTTTGTCATTTTCATTCAGTGGCAGAAACGGACTTCCATACATATTCAAAACAAACACACGTTCTAGGGAAGAAGAAGGTTTTCTCAGTTGACTATATAAATCTTATAGTTGACCGTTACAAATCTAAATTAAAAAAATTGTGACTAATAGTGACAAAAACCCATCACAAAAGTCAATGTGCATTATCCAAGACAGCTCATAATTTATTGATCGGTTCTTCTAAACTGCTACTCTAAAGTGATGTATGAAGTGGTATTGACTGACTGCGGTTTTTCTTTATGGTCATTAAGGTCATGAAATACTAAACTACATTTTCTTGTGTTGCACATTGTAAAAGACAACAGCTACGTTTACGTTCATTGATGGCTCAATCGGATTGAAACTTCTTCATGTAAACGCCTCAATCAAACTGACGTTTGATCCAAATGAAACTGAATTAAAATGGTGTAGACCTGGAATAAATCAACAGAAAACAATTGAGCATGCAAATGCTTGAATCTGACTATTTTCTCAGTTGGATTTAAAAATACTAAGCACAGGGCCGTGATCCGCATGTTTACATAGGTTTTACATCTGAGATTACTTACTGAGATTTTGTTTGGAATATGCAAACAAATATGTGAATTGGACTGCAATGCTTCATATAAAGAGAACTTTCAGAATCTGAAATCAGATTAGATTCATTCTGATTAACGAAAATTAGTGCATATAAACATACCTAGTGTTAGCATTCATTCATATTCATCGTAGGAGAAAACAGTTGTCTTCGACAGACCTTGAGTCTCTGACATATGCAATCCATCCGTACTGTGAGTGTAACTGCTCTTTAGAGCTTCTTGGTATAAACACAGCAAAATAACAGTCTAAAATGTGTTCAAAATGCAACAGTGCTTTCACATTTTAAGGTTTCTGCAGGTAAATTTAAGCCTTTTTCAAGACCTTTTTAAAACTAAAGAACATTGAAAATGAATCGACAAAATATGCCAATATATTCTCTAAATGTGAATGTCTAGGAAACACAGCGAGTTGTATTAGCATACTGGGAAAAAAAGCTCAGCTATGATGGAAATAACCTTCTGATGACACTGCAAAAACCTGATGTTCTTCCTCAGTATTTTTTGTCTTTGTCTAAAGATTCATGCATTTAAAACCAGAACAAATATTTGCGAATGGGCTCAGAAACTCTTAATTTAAAGTGAAAGCAGGGTTTCATTCGTATTTCATGCATATCTTGGTTTAATAATGTTTAGCTATTTGAAGATAAAATGCTTATTGAAGTGCATGCAACATTTAATGCCATGACTTTATGAATTTAAGATTTTCCGCTCTGATTTAAGACCTTTTTAAGGCCTTAATTTGTGGAAGGGCAAATTAAGATTTTTTTAAGACCTGCAGAAACCCTGTATATATTTTCAATGCAGAGTACAAATGCTTTTATTTGTGCTATAAATTACAGCTACCACAAGATGTGTATATTTGTGTAACATGCTGTGAGCTTTCAAACCCATATTTGTTTGTGTGTTGCATGCAATAGTGAACAGCGGTGTGCATTTGGGGGAACCTTTGATGCTCGTACATTAATTGTAAAATTGAGTGTAAAACACAGAGTCATTGTTGTGTCTCCTCTCTTCCCTCTCCAATTTGCAGTTTTTTTTGTTACTATTAAAATCTGTTGTTCAGCTTCTTCAAAGATCATCATTCATGATAATCATGATAGATTAATTTACTGCCAAGAACAATATAGGATGGGAATTGACCAGAACAAAAAACTTTTGCTGCTGAATTGATCTCCATGATCTACATTTGCAACCTAAAGTTCAGATGTTCTCAACATTAGATTCATTACATGCATGTGTGATCAATACTTTTAAAGCCAGCATTATCATTTACTTCCATAAAGTGATGCATTTCAGAGTAAAATTACTAGGGGGCTTGTTTTTATCCAAACTAATTGGATTCTGTAAAGTTGTCTTTATATGACATAATATAACATATAAATCCTGTATTAAATCTGATGTTTGCTTACGGTTCACATTGCTGTGACGCTGAACATGATAAACATGTCGAGGGTGAAATGGCCTGAAGTACACAAGCGCATCATGCAGAGAGACCAGCTAGACAACCGCTCACACACACACACACACAGTGTTAATCCTGCAAAAGCAGTGAGCACACTACAGCGTGCTGCTGAAATCAGGTCTAGTTTTACCTGGATGACTGCGATATGCTCCCGGCGAGTTGTCAAGAATGACTATACTTGATAAGTCGTCATGTACAACGGACAGGTCTTTAATATAACTACCTGAATCCAGCGTACAGTGCTGCACAAGATAAAGACAACACACAAAAAAGACAAAACATAAATTGCATTTCCTTTTCTAATTTCTTCCATTTGCATTCTTCTCATGGCAAATGTTAATGCACAATGAAACATCAAGGGTTTCAGTGGTTACCTGTCTATAGTATCTTCTTTTCAGGATCCCCTTGTTGTTATCCAGCTTATCAGCTACTGCAGAACCATAGATCTCCATACTAGCAGTGAACACTACTAACTCATACCACTGACTGACCACCTCCAGGAAGAAGTCCACATGCGGCCTTTTATGCACAAAGAATCTGACCGGGTGTTTGTCTATTACCACCTGAAAAACAACAGATTATATGAGAAAAATGAAATGAGACATTTGGATTTTATTATTTTTTTTAACTAATAATACAATACTACTACTAATAATAATGATGCATTATTATTGTAACACATTACAATATTACTATTACTAAACAATGAACAAAATACTTTGAAAGCATTTATTAATCTTAGTAATAAATAAGAACAGACATTTCCAAGAATTACCCTCGCCTAGAATCATAACCTGGAAATATCAGTTATTTTCACTGAGCGTGGTAAGTTTGTTTACTAGGGATGCACCGAATGTTCGGCAACCGAAATTATTCGGGCGAAAACAGCAAAAAGACCAAATAAATTGTACCGAACAATGACATGACGATATCAAATAGCAACCAGCGTAGAGTGAGACTCTTTATTATGCAGCACACACGTCAGCAGTGTGGAAGCATTTAAACTGTCCGAGAAAGACGCAAAAATCATGCGCAGAAACAGTGTTACTCATCAGTTGCTCAGTCACATTTTAATGAATTTTTACAAGGCATGTGACAATGCGATAACGTGCGACGTATTCGTAATGGGACTCATTTATAAATCTGCTGTTGTCAGGTCTTCCTGCGCGTTTCCGCCAAAATAAAAGTTGACAAAAAGCAAGAACTCCAACATTCATAAATGTTAGTATTGTAATTTTACTGTTGTTCTGTAAAATAAAAGAAAAAGAAAATGATATTACACCAGCTCTGTTAATACATTTATTATAACACATACACAGTGTTCAAATTGGGATTTGTAATATTTTCTAATGTTTTAAAAGAAGTCTCTTCTGCTCAGCAAGGCTGCTTTTCATTTTACAGTAAAAAATGCACGCCTGATTCAAGAAGGGGGTCTGATCGCCAAAATCTTTTATATATATATATATATATATATATATATATATATATTTTTTTTTATCGACGTATTCGTAATGGGACTCATTTATAAATCTGCTGTTGTCAGGTCTTCCTGCGCGTTTCCGCCAAAATAAAAGTTGACAAAAAGCAAGAACTCCAACATTCATAAATGTTAGTATTGTAATTTTACTGTTGTTCTGTAAAATAAAAGAAAAAGAAAATGATATTACACCAGCTCTGTTAATACATTTATTATAACACATACACAGTGTTCAAATTGGGATTTGTAATATTTTCTAATGTTTTAAAAGAAGTCTCTTCTGCTCAGCAAGGCTGCTTTTCATTTTACAGTAAAAAATGCACGCCTGATTCAAGAAGGGGGTCTGATCGCCAAAATCTTTTATATATATATATATATATATATTAATTTTAAGTTAAATTGTGCTTTGTTGGTATAATGTCTGCTAGAATGTTAAAACTTAATTAAATATTTTTTAAATTGTTGTTTTGTAATTGATTTTTTCTTTGAAAAACAAGACAAAACAGTAAAAAGCACATTTTGGCAATTTAATTTATGCAATGGTGAAAAAAATTGTCAAAATACATGGGGAAAAAACTTGAAAAACCGTGTTCGGTATTCTGGCCAAGTGTTTTATTTTGTTCAGTTTCGGCCAAGAATTTTAATTTCGGTGCATCCCTATTGTTCACAGATTTGCATTATTAATACGGCAAATAAAACGAACACTTACTTTGAGGACGAAGTCTGGCGGTGTCCCAGGCCGCACTGTAGGTCTGAGAACTCCATCGTGATGCGAGTGGATCAACGTCTCGTCGAGATCTAAAACTAAGATCTTTCGCTTCACGGTGTCTGAACAGAAATACAAACTCCCATGTTACTCGATGAAAATCAGCATATACGAAAACACTGCACACAAACGCAACACTGCACGTTCAAAGAGTTTCAAGCGTTTAACAAACAGCTGTCTCAAAGACAACTCGCACTCAGATCGGGCTTTCTGTTGTCATACCACTTTTAACTTGAGGAGAAGAAAAGAAACACTCACTGAGTCTGTTTCTCACTTATACATAATATTTTAATAAAAATTTTGACGATCTAATCTAAATATGACTCGTATCTGGACTGCTCTCTAGATATCAGGAGAGGCATCAGGACATAAATAAATCAAAATCAACAATAATAATAAATATTAGTTGATAATATTTACTATTGACATTTTCATTTTTGTTATAATACATATTTACAAATGCTTATTAGTTCATATTTAATTTATATTAATTATAAATATTTGTTATGTTTTTAATAAGTCATATTTGAATGAAATATGACTATTAAACTGATATATTGGCATTAGGGCGCTTCTGACTCCAGATGGCATCAAACAAAACAAACGAATAACAACAACAATAATGTATTGGTTAAGCTAAGGACATTTAAATAATTGCTAGTAAATACAGTAGTCAACATTTGAAGTGGAAGACAAGAACGCATATTGGTTTAGGTTTTAGGACAACTTTGATGAAAGGTTTTGATCCACTTCAAATGTTGACTAGTGCATTTATACAATATTACATAATACGACAATACAAATGTAATCCATTAGCTTCTATTTATATTGGTTGATCATTATTCTGGAAATGGGTGACAATGGTAAGATGTCATATCGCACTGTTTGATACTGGATTATCTAGAACAGGAAGGAGACAGAACAGGAAACAGCCACCTCAGTACACCACGTGTATTATACAGAAGACGACAATTTATACAATATTACATAATACGACAATACAAATGTAATCCATTAGCTTCTATTTATATTGGTTGATCATTAATATTAACTACAGAAATTGCTACGGCTAGTGTGTTACTAATACGTTTGACAACTCAGCTGCTAATTCCAGGTTGTCTGTAACAGTGGGAACCCTGAATTAATAAAAAGGAACGTAAGAGCGGTTTTGGAGTTGCCCATTTCACAACTGGTCAATTAGCAGCTTACTCGAATCTGGAATGAACCTGAGCTCAAACTCCGATGGCTTTCCCTTTAAGAGGTCCGAGATCCTCCGCCTCGGTCCACTGCTCGCCACAATGTGGATACTCTTCCTCTCTTTCTCCAAATCCCTCTCTTCTGAGCTATCTTTAGCCCTGCCAGCTGTCTAAAAGTGTCAGTGGAACTTGGGACAGCACAGCCGAGTGAAACTGCCAGGGTGACTTTGAAACGGGGGCTGTTCATTCCCAACCCGATTTAGGCCTCAATAAGGACTCGGGTCAAGCTGAACCGACCCGATGCATGCGTGACTGTAAAGCATGTCTAGTGAAGTGTCTGCTACTCTAGCACCCATATCAGAGTCCCAGACAAGTAATGCCTTTATCATTGCGCCTTAATGATCATCTTAAAGATTATTATACAACTGGATTGCCAAAGCCTGCAGTGCACAGTCCACTCTCAGAAAAAAAAGGTACAAAAGCTGTCACTGGGCCGGTACCTTTTCAAAAGGCACCTTTGTACCCAAACAGTCCGTATTGGTACCTTAAAGGTACATATTAGTACCTAAAGTGTACATATTAGTACCTAAAAGGTACATATTAGTACCTAAAAGGTACAAAAGTGCACCTTTTGAAAAGGTACTGCCCCAGCGACAGCTTTTGTACCTTTTTTTTCGGAGAGTGTGGGATTACAGCCTGCTTTCCAAACCCAAGTACTCTGAGCTAAAGCATGTGACACAGTTATCAGCTCATTCTGAAAACAATTAACCTATTGGATATTCACATTATTCCCCATTTTAAATTCTAAATATATTTATAATATTTTTTATTAATATTATATTATTTAAAAAAATCATGCTAAGACATATTTGAAACGCATTTACCCTGATCATCGTTGTTTTACTATAAAGTAGTAGTATATTGTTTATTTAATGCCATGTCAGCATCTCGGGCTAGTTTCATGGCAAAAACTATTCAAAAAATACAATAAAAACCAGCAAACAAACAAACACAAGTTACATTACACCAGATTTTCTTTTTATATTAACATATGATAAAAATTCTTGTTCTGGCAAAATTACACTAAATAACTCTTTAAGCGAGTTCACTTAAAATGCTAAATAATATAATACGATATATCCTTTAGCTTTAGTTAATTTTAGTACTTGGGCTTATTTGATTTCAGTCAACATTTCTAATTCCCGTTTTAGATTTCCATCTAATATTTAGCATTTATTTCAACAGTTTTACTTTTGGTAAATTATTTACTGGTTGTAAATAAACCTATTTAATATACTACAAATAACACATTTTGGTACCAAGTCGTATCTTACCCTGACTTTGCGCCACAGTACAACTACGTCTAATTTGTGTGTCTAAATGATGTTGATTTAGGTGGCAAGTTTTATTTTACACCAATGATAAACGCTTGACTGCTCATCAAATAATCCAGTATCGCACTGTTTGATACTGGATTATCTAGAACAGGAAGGAGACAGAACAGGAAACAGCCACCTCAGTACACCACGTGTATTATACAGAAGACGACAATGAGTACACCTTTTACAGTTTATTTAGCATGCTATACTGGTTTTAATGTTTGAACATCACACCATGATCCAGAATTTAGATGGGGGGGACAAAAAAAAACACAGTAAATAAAAATACAATCCATAACTGACCAGTTGAGGGATCATTCCAATTACATCATCGTTGTTTTACTATAAAGTAGTAGTATATTGTTTATTTAATGCCATGTCAGCATCTCGGGCTAGTTTCATGGCAAAAACTATTCAAAAAATACAATAAAAACCAGCAAACAAACAAACACAAGTTACATTACACCAGATTTTCTTTTTATATTAACATATGATAAAAATTCTTGTTCTGGCAAAATTACACTAAATAACTCTTTAAGCGAGTTCACTTAAAATGCTAAATAATATAATACGATATATCCTTTAGCTTTAGTTAATTTTAGTACTTGGGCTTATTTGATTTCAGTCAACATTTCTAATTCCCGTTTTAGATTTCCATCTAATATTTAGCATTTATTTCAACAGTTTTACTTTTGGTAAATTATTTACTGGTTGTAAATAAACCTATTTAATATACTACAAATAACACATTTTGGTACCAAGTCGTATCTTACCCTGACTTTGCGCCACAGTACAACTACGTCTAATTTGTGTGTCTAAATGATGTTGATTTAGGTGGCAAGTTTTATTTTACACCAATGATAAACGCTTGACTGCTCATCAACACTTTAGGCCCACAGTAAAGCGTCACATTAACTAATTTAGCCGTCATCAGTTTGTAAATATCAGTGTATGTTTAATGAAATCAGTGCAACATAATTCATAACCAGCAAGTCGTTGCTCTTCTCTAGCTGTGCCGTTGACAAAATTATGTTGTACAAAATTTATAAATATTAGAAAAGAAAAGAAACACTCACCGAGTCTGTAAATGGGTGACAATGGTTAGTATGGACAACATACCCACATGAAAAAATACTACAGTAAATACTAGTGTTTCTGAAGCATGCATACTGTAGTAAAGTACTTGAATTAATTAGTTGTGATAATTCTATAGCTGCTGTGGTAATAAACAAATTACTATACACAAGGGTATATTACACTACAGTATAAATGAAAGTATACTACAGTTTATCAGTTCACTAATACTACATTACGCTGTAGCATTCATTGACAAAGTGTTGCGAGTACTATAATATATACACACAGTATAATACACTTTACTATAGCATGGTACAAAAACACTATAGTATTTTTTCATGTGGATGTGTTTCACAAAACAAGCACTCGCTGTACAGAAAGATTGGGAATGAACTAACCAAACCTAGTCGGTTTAATAACCCAGACAGGCGTCTGCTGTCCCTCTTACACACCTGTGTTAAAGCTCAGTGCCGTGTCATGCAACAGAAGTAGCTGGGACGTGTAAACGCCGCTGTTTTCGGAAACTCACCGTCCGTATGTGCTTCCTGAGGATGTATAAGAAGCAGCTCCAGAGTCTGGAGGTCACGCCGAGGAAAGTGCGCACGCCGAGCAGACACTGGCGCGTCTTTAGCATGTCCACCATACCACCAGAGTCCCAGAGGTGTTATCTACACCGCCGACAAGAGCAACACAACACACCTGTGGAGAGGAGAGGAGCGCAGGTGACTTCTTCAGAGAGGTAGCGTCTCTGTCCGGCTCTGTGAAGTCCGCAAATGCTCGTTGGCTAAGATGCTCAAACCAAGCGGAGTGTCGAGCAAACGCCTCCGTTCTGCCGAAAGCCGAGAGAAGCGCGACCGTCCATCCGCTGCGGCATTAAAAGCACTGTCCTCCTTCGGAGAGCCTTAGAGAAAGCGAAAAGAAAACGCGCACAATTCAGCACTGGCCGCCATCGCTCCCCTGACGTCACTTCCGCGAAGGGACCTAAAGAGTGTGGTCACGTGGCCGCGGCGGTTTTCAAACCTAAAATCCATTTATATTTACAGCGCGCTGATTTTCTTGTCATTGAATTTATTTGGCCCTCTATTCTAATTCTATTTTATCTATTTGTTTTCTTTTTTATAAAAAAAAAAATAATCAATTTTTAAACTCTATTTACATTTAGTCATTTAGCAGACGCTGTTATCCAAAGCGAATTACAAATGAGGACAATGGAAGCAATTTATTATATAATAAATAAAAGGAAAACAGATAGCATAGAGCAAGCTAGTGTTAGAGGCCTTGTTTTGCTTTTGTTAATTGCATAATAAATAAAAAGAAAGGGAATAGATAGAATGGAGAAGCTAGTGTTTTTTTGATGTAAACAAGCAGTTTGTAAATGAATAGAGTGCGAGTCTAAAAGGGGAAAGCTTTTTTAAAGAATAGAATTAGAATAGAGTGCTAACGTTAGAGGGTCAAATAAAGATGGAAGAGATGTTTTAGTTTTAAACTCTGTTTTCTAACTGCTTGTTTTCTATACAAATGCAAAACACAAAAGACCTCTAAGGCTAGCTTTCTTTGTTTTCTTTTTATCCATTATAGAATTAACAAAAAAAAATCATGTCATGCCATTTATTTGACCCTCTCACTCTAGCAATCTCTATTCTAATTCTAGTGTGGTCACGTGGCCGCGGCGGTTTTCAAACCTAAAATCCATTTATATTTACAGCGCGCTGATTTTCTTGTCATTTAATTTATTTGGCCCTCTATTCTAATTCTATTTTATCTATTTGTTTTCTTTTTTATAAAAAAAAAAATAATCAATTTTTAAACTCTATTTACATTTAGTCATTTAGCAGACGCTGTTATCCAAAGCGAATTACAAATGAGGACAATGGAAGCAATTTATTATATAATAAATAAAAGGAAAACAGATAGCATAGAGCAAGCTAGTGTTAGAGGCCTTGTTTTGCTTTTGTTAATTGCATAATAAATAAAAAGAAAGGGAATAGATAGAATGGAGAAGCTAGTGTTTTTTTGATGTAAACAAGCAGTTTGTAAATGAATAGAGTGCGAGTCTAAAAGGGGAAAGCTTTTTTAAAGAATAGAATTAGAATAGAGTGCTAACGTTAGAGGGTCAAATAAAGATGGAAGAGATGTTTTAGTTTTAAACTCTGTTTTCTAACTGCTTGTTTTCTATACAAATGCAAAACACAAAAGACCTCTAAGGCTAGCTTTCTTTGTTTTCTTTTTATCCATTATAGAATTAACAAAAAAAAATCATGTCATGCCATTTATTTGACCCTCTCACTCTAGCAATCTCTATTCTAATTCTATTTTATCTATCTGTTTTCTTTTGCTGTCAAACAATTAATCGCATCTAAAATAAAAGTTTTTGTTTACATAATATATGTGTACTGTGTATATTTATTATGTATATATAAATACACACACATACAGTATATATTTTGAAAATATTTACATGTTTATACATTTATATTATTATTTTTATATTATATATATAAATATATTTAATACATAAACAGCATATTTTTCTTAAAGGGGTCATATGATGCGATTTCAAGTTTTGCTTTCTCTTTGGAGTGTTACAAGCTGGTTGTGCATAGATAAGATCCCTGAAGTTGCAAAGACTAAAGTCTCAAAACCAAAGAGATATTCTTTATCAAAGTTAAGACTCTGCCACGCCCCCCTAAAACGGCTCGTTCTAACACGCCCCCACATATCTACCTCACTATGTGGAAATATTTGCTCGATGACACATTGAACGGCCAAAAAATAATAAGATTATGTTTGAAAGAAGTCGGACTCACTCCGTCAACATTTTTTGTTTAATATAATTTAGTTTGTGCATTAAATATAAATCATAATCCACTGAATATACAACATATAGCCTAGTACATTGACTATGCTGTATATAATGATTTTTACAGCCATATATGCTGTATGATGATCTATATAGTTTACAAGACAACAGATTAAATTATGGATTTTATATCTAGTATATATTGTAATATATTTGAGATATAATCTAATTTTATTTGGAAATCAAAATAGATAATGGATAGAAACATTGCATAAATGTAAATTCTCAGGCATTTATGGCAAATCAAATGTAGTTAAAATTGGTTATAAGGGACTGCTAAAATTATGTGTGTGTGTGTGTGTGTGTGTGTGCGAGAGAGAGAGAGAGAGAGAGAGAGAGAGTTCCCCTTTCGGGATTGAACTGATGGTAAAACCAATGACACTATTTACTGTCTTTACATTTATTTTGAAAGATGAAGCTGGCGATTATGGTAAGGGGCGTTACATTTCCGACGAGTGCTTGCGGTGTTCGGCCAATCACAATGCACTGGGTCAGCTGGCCAATCAGAGCAGACTG